TATTCACAGTTAAAAGGTGAATTTTTTTATTTTATCTCGGTCTCGTTATCTAGATAACGGAACTTGAAAACTACCCTAGGGATTAAGTAATATTGTTATCTATAAATAACAACTTACAAACAGACATCTCTCACACACTGCCTGACCCTTCAACAAACAGACATCACACACACACACACACACACACACACACACACACACAGCCTGACCCTACAACAGACATTTCACACACACTGCCTGGCCCTTCAACAAACAGACATCTCACACACACTACATGACCCTTCAACAGACATCTCACACACACTGCCTGACCCTTCAACAAACAGACATCTCACACACACTTCCTGGCCCTTCAACAAACCCACATCTCACACACACTGCCTGGCCCTTCAACAGACATCTCACACACACTGCCTGACATCCAACAAACAGACATCTCACACACATTGCCTGGCCTTTCAACAAACCGATATCTCACACACACTGCCTGACCCTTCAACAAACAGACATCTCACACACACACACACACTGCCTGACCCTTCAACAAACAGACATCTCACACACACTGCCTGGTCCTTCAACAAACCGACATCTCACACACACTGCCTGACCTTCAACAAACAGACATCTCTCACACACACACACACACACACTGCCTGACCCTTCAACAAACAGACATCTCACACACACTGTCTGACCATTCGACAAACAGACATCTCACACACACTGCCTGACCCTTTTTCAAACTTTCACACTGCCTGACCCTTCAACGAACAGACATCTCACACACAGACTGCCTGACCTTTCAACAAACAGACATCACACACACACTGCCTGACCCTTCAACAAACAGACATCTCAAACACACTGCCTGACCCTTCAACAAACAGACATCTCACACACACTGTGTGATACAAGAAAGGTGGTTATTGAAGTCTGACCAATAAGTCTCCAACCCTACTTGTCCTCAATATTCTTGTCGGATTACAGTATTACATTTTTCAACGAATTCG